AATATTGGCTTTACAAACACATGAATCCCAGCTCTGCCACTTACAGGCCAAGAGGTGGCAGACAAGTAGTTAACCTCATCACAACTCAGTTTCCTCTTCTGTATGTTAGGAATAGAAATCTTACCTTGATCAGTTTGTGGGAAGAGTCAACAAGATCTTGATAATAAACAATGCATCATAGCTTTCTATCTCTCCTTGAGCTTCAACTCTTATATACCACAACCTCTGTTTAAAACATGCTACTGGGATCTCACATTTTCTCAAACTCAAATGTAGAACATCAAATTCATCTTGCCCCACCACAAGACAGGATTCTCTCCCAACTTTTCTGACTCTGTCTAGGACACTCCCATTATTCCAAATACCCACCACTAATTATCAAATTGTAAAGAGATGTTTATTTTTAGTCAGACTACAGTGAAAAGGTAGTCTCAATCCTTGCTGCTGGCAGGGCCATTGGAACAACATTTAGGAAATTACTGTGAAACAAATCCTAAACATGTTCAAGCCAGCATTTTTACTTCAATGAAATTTATTCTAAGGGAATAACATAAAATGTAGAAAATGCTGCTTCACAAGATGATTAAAGAGGTATTTATTTGTATGAGAGGAATGAGGAAAGAAGAGGAAAAGGAAAGAAAAAAACAACACAATATAACTATCCAGAAAATGCTAAGATGAATTATAGTACATGGTGTCAACAAATGTTTGATCTAAAAATGAAAGGAACAAAACAGGGAATATGCTAATCAATTTAAAAAGTTGTAAGTGAACTTGACCCAAATTAAAGCATAGACGCATAAGAGGAAATAAACCATAGTTTTATTTTTGCTTTGTCAGCATATAGAACATTTGTGAGAGACTTTTCTCTCTGGTTCTGAATCTGTGGTCCAAACCCTGATCCCTTGATTTGACCTGACTATGACAGCTTCTTATCCCAAATATCTTCATATTAATCACTCCTGGGTCAGCTTTTTCAACCCTCATTTTCATTATTACAGTTAAAAGAATCACAAATTTCTTCTCCGTAGTCTCTATAATCACACTCTTACTCTCCATTTACTGGAACTTGTCTTATTTTAGGTAATCCTCCAACAGTTTGCTCCATTACTGCCACAGTCCCCTCAAAACATGGCCCTGCCTCAAATGCCCTCCTAATTCATTCTTCCTACCCCTGTAGTCAGAGAAGCAATTCTCAAGCCTTATCCATTGACCCTGTAGATACCCTCAGGGGAAGGGTCCTCAGGAGACAAAACTGCCTCTCACCACTCTCCCACTAGATGAAGGCTGAGTTCAAGTTGGTTTCCTCACCCTCCTACCTCATTGACTTGTGTATTTCCACCATCAATTCTTCTATCTTCCCTTGGAACATCCCTCTCCTTCTACTTTCCCAATTTCTGAACCTAAAGTGTTTGATGTGTAGCCACTAGCCACATTTGGCCACAGAAAACTGGAAATGTGACTATTAAGAACTAATGCAATATACACTGGATTTCAAAGACAAGTATGGAAAAAAATGTGAAAACTATCACTAATATTTTACATTTATTAACTGCTGATAATACATATTAAATACATGAGGCTAAAATACATTGTCAAAAATTAATTTCACTTCTTTTTACTTTTTAAAAGTGGTTACTAGAAAATTTAAATAACACATATGGCTCATATTACATTTCTATTGGTAAGAGCTTGTCTATCCATTTTTCAGGGTCTAGCATGAATTAAACTTTCAAGATGCCCCAATTTTTATATCATTCTTTTTCTTTTTTTCAGTTGGAGATGAACACAATACCTTTATTGAGGATCAAACCCAGTACCTCACAAGCGCTAGGCAAGTGCTCAACCACCGAGCCATAACCCCAGCCCTTTTTCTGTCATTCTTAATGGTCTTTTTGTCTTCTGAAATCCTATAATGGAGTCTACCATGTAACAGACTATCTAATTACATAATGCACCATATGTTTACTATTATGTGATATTAACTCTTGCCTTTATCAATGCCTAACTCTAATTTGAGGCTTACAGTGGGCACTCAACTTTCAATTAGACATGAAATTCTTGCTGGAGCAAAACAGTAATATACTTGATATTTTGGGGTTTGGGTTTGTTTGGTCATCTTCTTTCCCAATGATGATTTCAACAGTGCAGGAAGAACTGGAAGTCAGCTCTTTGTTCTTCCTCTAATATAACACATATAAACACATTTAGTATATGGCTTGGCAACTTGTAAGGCCTGCCTTGCCTCAGTGTTCCTTAAGTTAATAAAGTATTAACTTTATTTTACATATTAAAATAAAGTTAATAATTATTATTAGGCCAATATATAGTATCTAGCCAGGTCAAAGTATCTTAAGTAAGTTTGAATTGAAGTCATTATCATGATATTAATACTGTACTCTCCACAGCTTATTCTCTATTTCTCAGCCAGATGTCTTAAACTCAGGTTACTTTTTATGAAGAGGGAATAAATCCATCACCATTATCAAAAAATAAGAAAGAAGAGTACAGAAACTACTACCAAAATATTTGTCCCATCCTATCAATGGTAATGCAAAAAGGAGCTGTTAAATATCTACTCCACTTAAGTCATTTATACATCATACTCACAATAACCCTTTACATGACAGACCTTACCATACTCATTTAGCAGAGTGAAGAAACTGAGATTCAAGGACAGGCTAAGTAACTAGCTCAAGTTATGCAGTTGCAAGTGGCAGACACAGATTGCAAACCCAGTCAATGGTATCATCCTTATAAATAACATCTTTAAATATGTGAAAAACAAGAGTGTTTTATAAATTTATACATAAAAATCAATAGAAATTACTATTCATTTCCTTCAGTTTCCTAAATTTTGGCTTAATTCCTATCTTTCCATTGAAAAGGGCTTTGTTTTCTCTTTTTTAAAAATAAGCAGCAACTGAATATGGTATACGATAAAGTAGGAAGTAATGCATTAATTCTTCGTTAAAATCCTTAAATCCCAGTTGTAAAGCAAAAGTTTACACTAAACATCATGACTAGACCTCCTCAGACAAATTTTATAAAAATCCAATCCCTACAAAGATCATAATAATAAACAAAGGAAACTGGGCCATTCCACAAACAAATGTTATCAACAACAGAAAAACATACACCTAAGGAAATATCAAAGAACTTCTCCATGTTACAAAACTGCAGTCATACTGAGATCATTGAAATGATAAAAGGAGGTTCCTTAAAATAAGACATACAACTTAAAGACAAACCATAATTACACAGACTTGAAAAGTATCTAATTTATCAGAATGGTGACAATGTACGTGTATCTCTAAGAAACCAGTATGATCTGGGTTTAATGTCTTTATAAAATGTAGCCAACTTAATCTTGTAGACTTGGACAGAACAAAGGTTTAAATTTTCTATTACAGAAAAAGTCCAAAAGTATCAAATGCTTTTAAAATACTGCTCAATTCTCCTTTATCAAAATGTCCCTGCAGTAGGTGTTAATCAGTCACTACCAAAAAACCAGGCACAAAGCAATCAGTGTGTGCATGGTATTTTACTACAGGAAGTAGAAAGTTCAGTTTACCAAGAACACCACATTTTGCTTTCAAAAGTCTTGAAAACTAATCCCTGTAACAGTAACTAATTTACATTTCATTCCAAACTGAACAAATAAATGTAAACTTCAGGAATCTAAAATAGTGAATAACTTACTTGGTAAAATCAGGTATTGGGTTTTTGTTTGTGTTTTTTTCCGTAGTGGTAAGGTCACAGGGTATAAATGGAAAAGAAATAATTAGCAACTTTTAATATTATGAACGAGATCTTAATTTAAAATTCTCACATATAAAATGAATTCTTTTATGTCATATTTTCTCAAGTGACAAACACGTTAAAACTAAGTGATTTTTACTTATTTTAACACTAAAACACACCTAAAAGAAACATAAGGTGTCTTTTGCTCTAGGCCCCCAAATACACAGACAAGTCTGTCTATAGATGGGCATAGGTGTTTCTGTCCTAAACAAAAGTTAGACCAAGAGGTTTTTAAAAAGAAAAGAAAAAAAAAGAAAGAAAGAAAAGAAAACATAGCTGATCACATGCAGCAGGTTACAGGAAGCTGGTGGACACTTTACATCCACAGTGCTGAGCTTCACCATAGGTCAATTCCAGACCCACCTGGGCTCTGCAGGGCCTCCACCCAGCAGGCCAGCAAAGCAGAAGAAATCATAGGCCCATGGTTGTCATGCTGGTTAATAAAAAAGTAGCAGTCTCCCTGAATCCAAGAAAACCACCCCTCCCTCCAAATGGCAGAACAGCTACCTTCATAAGGATAACACAAAGAAACTGAAAAAGCCAGACCCAAAATAAAAAATTAAAAGGGGGACATGGGAAGAGAGATGACAGTTAAATTTATGCTGATATTGCTTGGAATCAGTGTATTTGCTGCCTCAGACTGCAAAGTAAAAATAAATAAATAAAACAGGGAGGAGTGAGAGAGATGACAGTTCAATTAAGTCTGTGCTGGGACCACTGGGTCTCATTATACCTAATGTCTCAGGCTCGAAAATTAAAACTTAAAAAGTAGAAGGGATAGATGACAGTTCGGTGTGTGTGTGTGTGTGTGTGTGTACGTACGTACGTACGTACCACCTGGGGCTCAATTTATGTGCGGGGAAGTAGAGGGGATAGTCACCGCTGTGCCGGGCCTCGAGGTTACCCCGGAGGGCAGACGCGCAAAGAGAGCCTTGTGTCAATTTACACTCCAGAGCGACAAGGCAGGGTCCGAGGCCAGGCTATGGCTTTTGGGGAAACAATGCCTAAGGGGTCGCAGCCCGGAGTAGACAAGGTCTGACGCCCACCTATCCCCAGCCCCCGACCCAGCATCCCTGTCCGTGACTCTACAGGGTCGGTGTCCGCGGGGTCTCTGGCCCGCCCGCAGACTACACCCTCTCAGGCAGGTGCCCCCGACCCCAGTGCCCGGAGGCCCAGCACGCCGGCGCGCGCCTCACCAAGCAGCGCCCGCAGGTGCTTCAGGCGAGTCAGCACGTCCTTCTTGGGGTCCAACACCTTCTGGGTGGACTTCTTCACATCCCCGTGGCTCCTTCGGGAGAACATCCCGCCGCGGGAAGCCTGGGCCCCGCCGGCGGGGCAGGAGCGCCTGCGCCACACGAGTCACCGCATAGGGTCGGGACCGGCGCGTGTCGCGCGGGCCACTCACCGCGGCGCTCCGGGCCACCACCGCCGCCACCTCTGCCTCAGCTTTGACTCCAGGAAGGAGGGGCCGGCCGGGCCCGGTGAGGGGCGGGGGCAGGAAGGCGGTGTCGGTGCGGAACGAACAGCCCCGCCCCGCGGGAGGCGCTGGCCAGCCCCTCAGGCGCGACGCGCGCGCGCGAGTCTCGGACGCGCCTCGCATGACATCCTCCGGCTCGCTTAGACCCTCGCGGTGACGCACCTGGAGCTGGCGCGGCGAATCACAAAGAAGCGTGTTCCTCTCGCACGTTGTACTACAAGTCCCGGGAAGCACCGCGAAAAGGCTCTCCAATCAGGGTGGTGTGTCTTCAGCACAATGGGACTCAGTGGGCTATGAGCACGTGGTCCCTCCCGCGGTAGGCCGCAAAAGCTCCTGGGAAATGTAGTTCTCTAGGAGGCGAGGCTCTGCGACCTCCTTTTGAGCGTCTTAGAGGTGCTAAATACCATCTGCTTTCCCTTTGCTCCGGAAAGTCCCAGACTCCGGTACCTTCATACTCCCGGCTGCGTACACACACACACACACACTCCTGTATGAAGGCTTTTAAAATGCAAACTATTTTTAGGCTTGCTTCCGGATTTACGCTAGATCAGAGCTCCAATTACATACTAAAAGAAATGGGTTTGCCTAGTCTCCTGTGAGGTGTTCAACCAGTCCCCTTAGTTCCAGGACCCAACCTCACTTGGGAGTGTGGAGGTCCCTTGCTCAGAGGACGCTCAGGGTCTTGCCTCTTTCCTAGTAGGAAGTGAATGTTCCCGGTGTTGTGCAAAGCCACATAGCAATCCAGTAGCAGAACCAGAAATAGAACTTGAGGGACCTGACTCTCAGGCCAGTAGGCTTTTTAAAGCCAGACGTCTGTTCCCCGGGGCAAGACTTTGAGATGGAAGATGGGCAGGGGATTTCTTACAAGAGAACTGAAGGATTATTTACTGGCATCGGGATCCTCCAAGTTTTGACAGCATTTCAGCTTTTTCAAGCAAGAACTTAAGACTACTGTTTAGAACCACGTGATTTCCATCCAAATTGGGACAACCAAACTGTTCTTTTCTCCTCCAGTTGAACTGTAGCTTAAGGAGAAGCCAGGGATTTACATATCCTTGTATCTCCATCTCTGAGCACAGAATTTGACCTCTACTGGCATTCAGTAAAGCTCATTAAATGAAATGGAATGAAAAGCTAACCTAGTCCTACATATTTCAAATACACATGCCAAAATCAAAATTTGTTAAAAGTTTGTAAGATTAATGTTCTCTTTTCTGTCAAAGTTAAACCTGTCGTTTGAGTTTCCTAGTATATAACAAAATGAGTTTGCTGTTGTAAAACCGAAATTTCATAATGTGTAGTTGGGTGGAGCTACTTTTAAGTTACAAAATGGTTAAAATGTAGCCATTTTCCGTCCCCCAAACATATCTCCCTTTGTCCTCAGTCTTCCAATCATATTGACTATAGTGTAGTAGGTGATCAAATCATAACTGTATCCCTTCCCCCTGCCCTCTCCAATTCTAAATTAGTCAATTGGGTAATCTGTAACCCTGAACTACTCCTATCAGAGTAAAAGGCTGTGCTGCCTTAAGGATAAAAAGCTGGGCAGACTTCCTGCCCAGTGTACTTGCTTGCCAGATTTTTCTTGGTAGCACACCCTTCTGCAGAAATAATGTTTGCCTTACTGAGTGACTTTTGAGTATGTGTCTGATTTCTTGTGGTACCCCAATATTTCTAACAAGTTCTCTATTTTTGGAATTGTCCAAATAGCATTGATAGAAAAGGGACATATTAATAGAAAGGAATAGGGGGTTGAGATTGTGGTCAATTGTAGAGCACATGGGAGGCACTGGGTTCTATCTTCAGCCCCACATTAAAAAATTAAAAATAAATTAAATTCATGCTTATTTAAAAAATACAAAGGAATATTGCTCAACAATAAAAAGGAACAGAATACTGATAAATGCAACAACATGGATGACTCTCATAGACCCAGAAATGGAATTTCCATGCTCAGGACGATGGCAGGGCTGCCCTATCAGCCTGAGTCCCCAGATGACATCATAGATCAAAGCCACAAACTCTCCAAAATTGTTACAAGGGAGAGAAATTATGTTCACTCTTGAACCAAATCAAGGACCTTTGTTACATCAGCTTAGCTTGTACCCTATTACAGACAGGAAACACAGTGTTTACTGTCCCATTCCTTTGGAAAATAGTATCTTTCCTTATACTCACTGAAAAAAATAAAATGTACTTATCTTAAAGGATTCGATTTTTCTATTTCAAATCAAGCTGACATTATCATCAAACATTTATTGAGTACCTGCAAGGTGAAAGCATGATTCTAAGCCTTGAGGATAAAAGATGTTTACGATACAACTCCCCTGATCTCCAAAGCTTCCAATCTATTTGAGGAGGCTAAGCAACTAGACAAAGGAAGGAATAAATGATAGTACAGTAAACATGTGACACTGTCAAAACTTGTTAGTGCCAGAAACAGGCGTCTCTGCATATAGATTCATCTCACCCATCATACTTACTAATGAAAATATAGAACTCCAAATCTTCTCTTAAAAATAAAGAAACATGAACTATGCTGATGATGATACTTTTTCACACACATATATATTGCATGTGTCTCTTTATTTTCTGTTTTCCTCTCAAAAATCATTCCTGCTGAATTATAAACTCTTTGAGGAAATCACCTACTTTGAAGTTAATTCTTTGTCTCTGGAGTTTCAGAGTATCAAGTATTTTGCAGACAATTAAGTGCTATTGAATAAATGACCCACTTTAATCAATAAATGAGGAAAACCAAGTCAAGAGTTTAAAACTTGCAATGCAAATTAAAACTACCATGAAATACCATTAGAATCAGAAAAAAAAAAAAAAAAATCCCCACACGTTTGGCAACGCATTCAAGTGGCAAAGCTATAGAGAAACACAGCAGTTAGTATTGCCAAAAGGTCAGTCCTTGTCCTGGAAGCCAATCCAATAACAAGGACATAGTTTTGAGAAAAAGAAGTTTTATTGCTTTTCTAGCAAAGGAGAAACACAGGGGACTCCTGTCCCAGAGGCTATGGTTCTGCTCATCAGCAGGAACAGGGTGCTTTTAAAGAGGTGATTCAGAGAAAATGAGATTAGGGAGGAATGATCAGGAAGGAGAAGATCAGGGAAAAGACTATCAGGGAGGAGAAAGTTAGGCAGGAGAAGGTCAGGGAGCAGAAGGTTGGGAAAAAGAAAAGAAAAAAAAAACCGTACGTTTCAAAGTCACAAGGAATATAGTCAAAGCATCAAGTGAACCCCTGTTACATTAGGACTGTAAAACAATACAACCCATATGGAGGGAAATTTGGCAAAATTGCATTTATTTGCCCTTTAACCCAGAAATTCTATTTTCAAGAATTGACCCTGAAGATAGATCTCCACAAATATAAAACCATTCGTGGAAGGTTATTCTTTCCAGCAATTTTTGTATAGTCAATTTAGTAGATTGAATAGTGCCCCCTCCACAAGAGATATGCCTATGTCCTAAACCCCAGAATGTATGAAACTTTATTTGGGGTGTGTGTGGGGACGTCTTTTCAAATGTAATTACATTAAGGATCTCAAGATAAGATAATCCTGGATTATTTGAATGGGCCTAAATCCAATATCAAGAGTCCATGGAAAAATAGAAAACAAAGAAACAAGAGAGAAGGTCATGTGAAGCCCAAGGCAGAGATTGGATTTATGCATCCGCAAACCAAGAAACTCCTGAACCACCAACATCTTGTCTAGCTTGAAGGAGTTCCTTATGACCAAATATGGGTTAATTTGATCATCAAAAAGAATAATACTGACTGATGATAAAACTCAAATAAATAAAAATTCAGGAATCTGTAATATCATTCAAAAGAACATATTGTCATTATAGTAGGCAGTGTTTCAGGCTGATTGTGCGCGCGCGCGCGCACACACACACACACACACACACACAGTCCTCAGGTGGATGTTTTCTCAGTAACAAATGGGAAAACATATTGAGAAACCAGCTTCTACCTCAGAACAAAGCCTGTCCGAGGAAAGGGGCATAAACCTTGTCCTTGGAAAGACCTACAGAGCACTCCTAGGCACATACCCACCCTGCAGAGTTGTTTATCTACAAATAACAGGAGAGATCTGTGGAGCCAGGTGTCCCTGACTCAGTCAGGCTTGGTGAGGACTCATAGCAACCCCCTACTAATCACCAATCAGCATGAGACAGGGAAAATACCTGAGATGCCAGATGACCCTCCCAATAGTTTATGGTGGTTGATAACATGTTGGGAAACCATGTAGTTCCGCACGTACTCCCCTCGTGGTTTCAACCAATCAGTTCAAACGAATCGCCCTCTTGTACTAACCAATCATCCTTACCCAACTTGTTCCCGCCAGTGAATGTGCTGATCATGTTTTAGAGTTGTTTTATGATTTTCCCGCAGTGTGTGATGATTTGCTAAGAGATGCTATGATGTATGTAAAGTCCCTGCCTTCCCCAAAGAGTATATAAAACTGCTGCAAACCCTGGGTTCAGGGCCTCTCAGCGTCACCGTTGCTGTGTGCGAGTGGAGGACGGAGCTAACTCGCAATAAACACCTCTTTGCTGCTTACATCAATCTTGGTCTCTGGTGGTCTTTTGGGAGTCCGGAATTCAAGCACAACAATATCTGAACTAGGTGTGGGTTTCCAGATCCCAGCCAGGGGAAAGTTTCCATACCAGGAAAGTAGCCTGCTTTCCTGATAATACCAAATTGGACTTGGTTGTTTGGGAAATCAGTGATCATGACTAAGTAAGCAAAATGGTATGGGAGACCAAGAAGGTCCAAAGAATAAATAGAAACTCATTAATTCCTGACATCCAGAGTCAAATTTTAGACTTGTTGTTCTTGTATACTATTTACATAAATTCGAACCAAGAGTTATTGATCAATTACTAT